TGTTTATTTTTTATTTTTTTGAGAGGTTTTTGCTATAGGGCATGTGCACTCACCAGACAGAGAGAGACACAGAGACAGAAAGCGAGAAATCACCCCGCAGGGGGGATGGTCACGCCGCAATCCCTTCTCCTCCATTCTCCTCTCGGGATCTTGGGCACGCACGCACACGCGCCCGGCGTGAGTTTTAAGCCACCCGGTCCAGGACACGAACCGCGGTCGACTACGTGGGAGTCCAGCGACATAGCCATTACGCTAACTGCTGGTTCCCTTCCACCTTCTTAGTTTTTGAACTCTTATTTCCATGTGTCTGTATTTAATTTTCCTGATATAGTACACCCTTGAGAACTTCTTGGAGATCTGGTCTGGTGCTGGTAAATTCTTTCAGGTTTTGTTTATCTGAGAATGTTCTTGTCTTTTCTTCCCACATGAAAGATAATCTTGCTGGGTACAGTTATAAATATACTCTTAATGACCAAAGCATGCAATCTGATTTAGATTCCAAATATATTTGCTATGTTGCAGATATAGTGGGTTCTGCTGGGGAGGGCCCAGGGCAAGAAATCCTGAAAGTAACTGGAATGGTATTAGTTTCCTAGGACTGATGTGACAAAGCCACAAAACTGGGTGACTTAAAACAATAGAAATTTATTTTCTTACAGCTCTGAGAGTTATTCATCTGAAATCAAGCTGTCGGCAGGACCACACTCTCCTGTAACTTGTAGGGAAGAACTTTTCCTTGCCTCTTCCTCACTTTTGATGATGACTGTGAATCCTTGGCATTCCCTGGCTTATAGGTATTTCATTCTAATCACCCCCCCGCTGTTGTCACATGGTCATCTCCTCTCTGTGTGTCTGTCTTCATATGGTATTCTCCTCCCTCTCAGAAGGACATCCATCATATTGGATTAAGAGCCCACCCTACTCCAATATGACTTCATCTTAATTTTATTACTTCTGCAGGGTCCCTATTTCTAACTAAGGTCACATTCTGACACACTAAGGGTTAAGACTTCAAGATACAAGGCAGGGGCACAATCTAACCCATAATAGTTGCAATCCCAATTATTTACCTCAGTTTTATTTTTCTATTTTTAAACTGAAACAAGTATTTCCTGGAAAATATTGAGGTGTGAGGATGATATACTTTATTTTAAATTTTGCCGAAGGGCACAAGTACTTACCAGAGCCAGAGGCACAGAGATAAAGCACCCCATCTGTTCTCCTCCTTTTTTCCACTCTTTTGGGATTTGGGGCATGCACACAGATGCACCTGGTAAGTTCTTCAAGCTTCTGGGTCTGAGATTCGAACCACACAGTCAACTATGAGGAATCCAGCTCCCTTAACCATCATCAGGCCACAGGGCAAGCACATGGGGATGATATTCTGACCACTAGAAATTACTCATATTACTGACTTATTATTTGTAGTACAATAGATTTCATTCTAGAGATAGAATTTTTAAACAACCATGAACAACCTCACCATCTTCACTGACTTCCTCCTCCTTGGACTGTCTGCTGATCCGCACATCCAGGCTCTACTCTTTGTGCTGTTCCTGGGGGTTTACCTCCTGACCCTAGCTGGAAACTTGGTGATGATTTGGGTGATCAAACAGGATTCTCATCTCCACACCCCTATGTACTTCTTTCTCGGACATCTGTCCTTTCTGGACATCTGCTTCTCTTCCGTCACTATGCCCAAAATGCTGCAGAACTTCCTATCTCAGAAGAAAAGCATCTCAGTATGGGGCTGTATCACCCAGAGTTTCTTCTTTCTTCTCTCTGGATGTGCTGAGGCCAGTCTGCTCTCTGCCATGGCCTATGACCGCTATGCTGCCATCTGCCACCCTCTGCTCTACACTGCAGTCATGAACAGGTCTCTCTGCACTGCCCTGGTCAGTGCAGCATGGGTGATGGGGTTTCTGAACTCACTAGTGAATAATCTTTTCATCCACCAGTTATATTTCTGTGGGTCCAACACCATAGCCCACTTCATCTGTGAGCTGCCTTCACTCTTCCCTCTCTCCTGTACTGATCCCACGGCCAATGAGTTACTTCTGTCAGGGTCCAGTGCCTTTCTGGGGCTGCTGACACTCCCCCTGATCATCTTTTCTTACTGCAGAATCATTTCTGCCATACTGAGCATGCACTCCTCTGGGGGCCAAGGCAAAGCCTTCTCCACCTGCTCCTCCCACCTCACCGTGGTGCTCTTGTTCTATGGTACTGCTCTCTTCAGGTACATCAGCCACACCTCAGGCTCACTATGGGAGCAAGTGGTCTCCATCCAGTACAGTGTAATCACATCCTTGCTCAATCCCCTCATCTACAGTCTAAAGAACCAGGAGGTGAAGGCTGCTCTGCAGAGAATGCTCAGGCAGCAGATATGTTCCCTAGAGGAGGGAATGTCTGTATGGTATTCAGTCAGAGAATTAGGGGAAAGGGATCTTCAGAAACACCTTAAGAAGAAGAAAGGCATTTTGAATCAGACGTTCTCAGAGCGTCATCTCCAGACCAGCATCAGCATGCCCTCCGTGCTTTGTCTGACGGCAGATTTTCAGCCACATGCCAGATCGGCCGAGTAAGAAACTCCTGAAGTGGAGCTCAGCCATCATTTTAATTAGTTAATTGGGTGACTATGTGCAAGGCTGAGAAACACTGTTTTAGGCCAAGTAATATTTGAGAAAATTGTGTTTAAAAAAGGAGTATTGATATCTCAAAATGAAGAACTTCTCTTAAATAGAAAACCACTAATATCTAGCACTACTATTGAGAAAAGCATGTATAAATTTTCCACCACCCAAGAGTACTCCTTTATATTACTATTGTCAATAGTTTGTTTAAACCATTTATTTTCACATCAAACCTTTGGAATTCTCACATGGAGAAGCCTAAAGAAATTGAGAACTTATTTGTATCTTTGAGCACAGACTTTTTTCCAACTCATGCCATGCTCTGATTCTAACGCTCTTCAATTATGCAGCTGTGATATGGACTCCTCTGTCATACATTTATTTCAAAAGAATGAAAACGGCACTACTGTTTTTTGCCATCAAAAGTAGATGAGCCAATTCCGACTATCAATAACTATGGTTCAAGAATTAATAGGACACATAGCTAAAAGTGTTTCTAGTATTTGTAGTACATTTTAAAATGTGAAAAGTTGCTCTACAGTTTAGTTAGAGAAACACAGGGTTGGGGCTGGCAGGTGGCATGGTGGTTGAGATGCTGGAGGTGCTGGCCAACTGTGGTTTGAGTCCCAGACCTGGCAGCTTGTTTTATCACTCTCCCTTTCTTTCTGTCTCTCTTGGTGAAATTAAATAATAATAATAACAAACAAATAATTCTTTAAAAAAGAATAATACAGGGTTAAAAGAAGGGTCAATGCACCCTGAATAATAACAAGATGAACATATTTTCTGTACTAGATATCAAGATTTATCATACAGTTATTATAATAAAGATACTATTGTATTTGGGGTGAGATAGACAAATAAACAAATGAGACAGAATAAAGAGGCCAGAAATAAATGAGTATACACTTGGAAAACTGGTGACACAGCTGGATTGATAAATCAAACATACATTTCTATATATTTTCTTTTTTAAAAAATATTGCCAGAGAGCGTGTGCACTCACTGGAAAAAGACAGAAGACAGAGAGAGTGTAAAGTGAGAAAGCATCCCACACACACATAAGGAATGGTCATGCTGCAATTCCTTCTCCTCCATTTTTCCTTCCTTTGGAATCTTAGGTACCCACTCACATGCACCTGGTGGGTTTCTCAAGCTGCTGGGTCTGGAACTCAAAGTACATGATTGGCCATGTGGAATCCAGCCACCGTAACCACCACACCACTTGCCAGCTCTCCATGTTTTCCCAGAAATCTTTACAATGTTCCTTATATTTTTTATCATAATCCATGTAAGACTGATTTTGTGTACATATAAGTAGACATCCAACCTTGTTTTCTCCAAATGGATGCCAATAGTTTCATTTATTATATAGCTCCTCCCTTTTCCACTGATTTGCCATGTCCACTCTGTCAAAGATTATTTTCATCTCATAAACATAATTTTGACATAACAAAATATACCACAGAATAATATATGCATTATTATTTTCTTTATATAGGGCTAAAAATGTGCAACACTAAATTTGCTGCTTAAGAATAAAAACATTGAGGTAAACCTATAAAAACAAAGGAACGATAAACTCAAAATTCAGGTTAATGATTATCATAGGGAGAGGTGAGGAGTTGTTATCACTGTTTTATTCTTTTAGGTGGGTGAGGTACATGGAAGTCCATTAATTATCATTCTTACTGTACATAAGCATGACATACTGTCTTTTTATGTCTGATATACTTTATAAATAAAAATGAAATTATATAATGTTTAAGTTGAATAAATAGATGGGGCAAATAGTAAAAATATCCAGGCAAAATATTAATTATTGAGCTGGAAGATCAGGGTGAAAAAAACTTCTGAGATAATAAAAATGTTTTGATAAAAGAACAGAAATTATAAAGCAAAAAGTTAAGAAATACAAGAACAAAGGAAAAATGATGGTTACAGTTCCAAAAGAGGGGAAAAAATAATGACCAGAGGATATTTAAAGATGTAAAATCTACCAGTTGGAAATTTGGAGATGGTCATTGATTATAGTAACGGTTTCACAGGTATACATATCTGTCAAAACCCACCAAATTGTGCATCTAACATATATAGTTTATTATACGTCAATTATACTTCAATAAATATGTAAAGAAAAACGGAGTTTATAAGAAGTTAAAACAAAACAAAGAACCACGGGCTGGCCTTGTACAGTACAGATTAAACACTGAGCACTGGGAGCAAAATCCTACATGGCGGCCGAGCACAATTCAAATCCTGGCCCTGATAGATTGAAAAACACACTCGATGCATATGCATTTGTGCCCAAAAACCTGATGGGAAGGGAAAATGGAGAAAAAAGTTTTGCATTGTGACCACGCACTGTTGGGGAGTGCTTTTTCTCTGTCTGCTTCTCTCTTTATCTTACTCCCTATCCATCTGGTGAGCATACAGACTCTGCCAATTAAAAGAACTAGGATTAAAAGGATTAAGAGTGCCAAATCAGATAAGCAACAACAACAACAAGTAAACAAAAATTTAAACACTGAATAGTAAATCTTGAGAAATTAAAAAACAAATAAATTATTCTTAAAAGTTTCTAAAGTATGTCCAGAGATGAAGAAAGAATTATCTACTAATGAAAAAGAATCTGAATAATATAAGACTTCTCAAAAGTAGCACCCGATATAGGAAGAGAATGATGTAAAATTTTCAAAGCATTGAAAAAAAGAAATTTCAAAATTATGAATATATATCCAGAGATACTTCTAAAAGATAAGGTCCAATATTTTTAGTGATAGAAATCCTTACAAAATTTACCAAACCACCACTTTGAAAACTTCTTGAGAGGGTATCCTAGGAATAAGAGAATAAATCAAAGAGGATGCTATATTTCTCATTGGAGACTGTATAACCCAGAGTTTTGTTATCCTCTTGAGGATGCCCTAAAGCTTGACTATTCTGTCATGGCTGTGACAGATAGTCACTCTTGGTCATTCTTGTATTAACCTAAGTCAAAAACAATTTATTTGCATTTCTTTCTTTTATTTTTTTATAGTAGACGAGTGTTTGCCAAAGAGAGACAGAGACAGAGAGGAAAAGTGAGAAATTACCCCTCAGGGTGGATGACCATGCCACAATCCCTTCTCTTCCATCCTCCTCTCAGGATTTTGGGCACACACACACACGTGCCTGGAGAGATTTTGAAGCTGCTGGCTCTGGGACTTGGGAGTCCAATGCCTTCACTACCCCACCATCTGCTGGCCCCTTTATTTGCATTTCTATGAAATGTGAGAAGAGAGCACAAGTGGTGAAAACTGCTTTAGGGAACCAGCAGATGGTTACATCACTGGACTCCCATGTAGTCAGCTATGGTTCAAGTCCCAGACCTGGTGGCTTAAAACTCACACTGGGTGTGTGTGTGTGTGTGTGTGTGTGTGTGTGTGTGCATGTCCAAAATTCTGTGAGGAGAATGGATGCTAAGGGATTGCGGCATGGCAGTCCCTCCTCGGGAGGGTGATTTCTTGCTTTCTGTCTCTCTGTCTCACGTGCCCTATGGCTAAAATCTCTCTAAAAAAAAACAAACATAAAATAAAACCAAAAACTGGTTTTGACCTCCTTCCTGACCAAAAATCTAATCTACAATATGGCACATTATATCAACATATTTGCTATGCTTTCTAAGGAAGAATTTACACTTTCTCTATCCTATTTTTTCAGGTTTCACCATGTGATCTAAGTGTATCTCCCTGTGACAGGTGATATATCTTTGCCCTGTTGAACTGAAGTGTGGCCATATAAATTGCTTTAATCAATGAAATATGGGGAAATGTCATTTCTGAGCAAAAGTTTTTAAAATTATTTCATCGTTTACTATCCTACTCTTTTCCATAAGTTCAAACACCATTTTTGTCCTGTTTGAGGCTGCTCCATAAACCTAGGCAAAGAAAGACTATTTGGTAAGAAAAAGCAGCTGTCTCAGTGAACAAGCAACATGAGAAGTGAATTTTTTATCATTTATTTAATTTTATCACTATTATTTTTTTTTTTTTTAATTTGACCAGAGAGAGAGAGAGAAAGTAAGAAAGCAGGCTTCCAGGTCCAGGACCCGAACCACACTTGGTCATGTGGGAGTCCAGTGCCTCAACCACCACAGTACCTGCCAGGCCCGAAAAGTGAATTTTGATTCTCGTTAACCATTGGAATTGTCAGTCACTTATTATCACAGCATAATTTGGTCTAAGCTGACTGATACATTCAACTTGTCCTTCTATAGCTCCAATAACCTCTCTCAACTTCAAGTTGTCTCCACTTCTCCTTCATCCAACATAGATACTGTCAACATGTAATTTTTATGAGATCAGTTCAATTCCTGAGACTCCTAAAATATTCCTAACCTTTTTTTCCCCTTACTCCTGAGTCATCCTGGGCTTCCTATCTTGTGGGGGCCAAGACAAAACTTTTTCCACTTGAGTCAAGCAAAGCTCACCATCAACCATAGTCTTTATGTCTCTTAGGTTTCTTAATATAATCAGTGAGTTGTAACCAGGGGCAACAGAGGAAATGGAAAAAGAGAAAGAAGACAGTGGACTGAGAAGTGAATGAGGAGGAGACAGTAGAATAGACTATCCTTCCAAAAAGCTGGTAATAAATAGAAAGAAAGACAATGAAGTGGTTAGGGAAGCAAGTAGCCTGGAGCCTGAAGTGCATTCTTCTATAGACCTGATCCTATTCCCACCAATCCTATTACAGAAAACTAACTTCTAGTTTATAGAGCCAAACCAAAGTTCGGGGTTCATCCTTTCTTATATCTGTGCTCATCATATGTGCCCTTAGCACAGTGGGTCTTTCCCTGCCACACCCAGAACAACCAAAGCTGGTCTTAAGGAAGCCAATTCCCTATCAGAGAGGAAGGACTACTAATTTGTCTCACTTTATTTTTAGATAGCAAAAGCTTGAGCAATAGCCAG